CTGCTGTGACCTGGGAAAGCAGTGGAATATGGCACAAGTGCTTGGGCCCCTGTACCCGTGTTGGGGACCCATAAGAGCCTCCTGGTCCTGACTTTGTATCGGCACAGATCCAGCCATCCTGGTCAGTTGGGGACTGAACCGGCAGATAGGGGAGCTCTCACTCTCGCACTCGCTCTCGCACTTGCTCTCTCTTCCGCCCCTTCTCTCTGCCTCTCCCTCTCTCACTGTGTAACTCTTTCAAATAAATAAATAAAAATATTAAAAAATAAACAAGAGAAGGAAAAGTTTCTAAGGGAAGAAAAAATTTGTTTAAGAAAGCAGATGAGTATTCAGGAGAACAAATGGGAGATAAAGTTTGTGATAAGGTTTACTTATGTAGGTTTGAGTTATCCTTTCTTGTACTTCATGTCTATTACACTCCTCAAAAGGGAATTTATAGTAGGTTTATTCTCAGTATTGGGAATAGACCCACCCCACCCCAGGAAGGAATTTTTGACAGTGAAATTTCCCAGAGGTTATACTCATAAATGAGGATCAGTGAAAAGGCTGCTTTCTGCATCTGTCAAACTTCAAACCTCTTTAGCTTAAAACCATCTTCATGGCCAGCGCTGCAGCTCACTAGGCTAATCCTCCACCTAGCGGCGCTGGCACACCAGGTTCTAGTCCCGGTCGGGGCGCCGGATTCTGTCCCGGTTGCCCCTCTTCCAGGCCAGCTCTCTGCTGTGGCCAGGGAGTGCAGTGGAGGATGGCCCAAGTGCTTGGGCCCTGCACCCCATGGGAGACCAGGATAAGTACCTGGCTCCTGCCATCGGATCAGCAGCGCGGCGGCCATTGGAGGGTGAACCAATGGCAAAGGAAGACCTTTCTCTCTGTCTCCCTCTCTCTCACGGTTCACTCTGCCTGTCAAAAAAAAAAAACAAAAACAAACAAACAAAAAAAAAAAAACCATCTTCATAGGCACTCTGGCATGCTGAGTGGATACCTACATTTATCCCACAGTGTTTTCCCATTCATATGTTGATGGATCACTGGCTTGTTTCTTATATTTGGCCATTGTGAGTAATGTTACTATCAATATTGCTTTCAGTTCTTTTGGGTGTAAACCCAGAGCATGGAATTGCTAAATCACATGATCATTTATTTTTTTTTTACTTTTATTTAATGAATATAAATTTCCAAAGTACGGCTGATGGATTACAATGGCTTCCCCCCCCCATAATGTCCCTCCCACCCGCAACCCTTCCCTTTCCCACTCCCTCTCCCCTTCCATTCACATCAAGATTCATTTTCAATTCTCTTAATATACAGAAGATCAGTTTAGCATACATTAAGTAAAGATTTCAACAGTTTGCTCCCACACAGAAACATAAAGTGAAAAATAATAGATGATTTTTTAAATGATGATGAAATCAGATCAGACCTATTGTCATGTTTAATCCCAGTGAGAGTCAAGTTGGGAATTGATTTTTTTTTTTTTTTACAGAAGATCAGTTTAGTATACATTAAATAAAGATTTCAACAGTTTGCACCCCCATAGAAACACAAAGTGAAATATACTGTTTGAGTACTTATTATAGCATTAAATCTCAATGTACAGCACATTAAGGACAGAGATCCTACATGAGGAGTAAGTGCACAGTGACTCCTGTTATTGACTTTACAAATTGACACTCCTGTCTATGGCATCAGTAATCTCCCTATGCTCCAGTCATGAGTTTCCAAGGCTATGGAAGCCTTTTGAGTTCTCCGACTCTTATCTTGTTTAGACAAGGTCATAGTCAAAGTGGAGGTTCTCTCCTCCCTTCAGAGAAAGGTACCTCCTTCTTTGAAGACCTGTTCTTTCCACTGGGATCTCACTCACAGAGATCTTTCATTTAGGGTTTTTTTGTTTTTGTTTTTGTTTTTGTTTTTTTTTTTTGCCAGAGTGTCTTGGCTTTCCATGCCTGAAATACTCTCATGGCTTTTCAGCCAGATCCGAATGCCTTTAGGGCTGATTCTGAGGCCAGAGTGCTGTTTAGGACATCTGCCATTCTATGAGTCTGCTGAGTATCTCGCTTCCCATAAGGAAATATTATACTGTTTTCCAAAGCAGCTGGATCATTTTACTTCTCCCCCAGCAGTGCACAAGTTTTTGGCTTCTTCATATCCTTGCTAACCATTGTTGTTTTCCAGGTTTATTTGTGTGTGGGTGTGTGTGGGTGTGTGTGAAGTGCTAGTTTATTATGGTTTTCCACTAGCATTTCTTTAATAATTAGTGATAATGAGCAACCTTGCATGTGCTTATTGACCATCTTTATTCTTTGCAGAAATGCCTGTTCAAGCCCTTTTGCCCACATCTTAAAGATGTGGCTCTGAAGATTATTCATCTAAGGGAAACTCTGTGTTCTTATTTTTTTCTCAATTTAGGAGATCAAGGCTGTCATGCTCACTGCATTGAAGTCCAGGATTTGAGTATCAGTTAACTTAATTGCCATTAACTTCAAAATAAAACATCCAAATGGTCCAAAATTATTGCAGAAATTCTTCTTTTTAAGTACTTAATGCCTGCTCTCTCCTCTCTGTTTCTCTAAGAAATTCTTATTTTATTCTAAGCAAACTAACCCTATCTCCTTTATCACCCCTATTTAATATTTGAATTGAATTCTGTATTCTTTAGCCTTTATTAGGTATCTGATATAGTTACAACTTGATCTATATTCATATGCTGTTTAGGGAAAAGCCAGCAGTATTTGGTCACCAGTTTATGAAAGATCCTTTTACCATTGAAGTCTGACTAATTACAGAAAAACGTAGACCATTATAAAAGGTATAGTTTATGTTTTTACTTAACAACTAGAATTTACAAGAAAAAAGAATAATAGGCCGATGCCACGGCTCAATATGCTAATCCTCCACTTGCGGCTCCGGCACACCAGGTTCTAGTCCCAGTCGGGGCACTGGATTCTGTCCCAATTGCCCCTCTTCCAGGCCAGCTCTCTGCTATGGCCCGGGAGTGCAGTGGAGGATGGCCCAAGTGCTTGGGCCCTGCACCCCATGGGAGACCAGGAGAAGCACCTGGCTCCTGGCTTCAGATCTGTGCGATGCGCCGGCCACAGCGCGCCGACTGCAGCAGCCATTGGAGGGTGAACCAACGGCAAAGGAAGACCTTTCTCTCTGTCTCTCTCTCTCTCTCTCTCTCACTGTCCACTCTGCCTGTCAAAAAAAAAAAAAAAAGAGAGAGAGAATAAAGAATAATAGTGTTATTCACCTTAAATGAATTAAGGCATTTAAATTTATACCTGTAAGGTTTTAAAAATAAATGAAATACTTAAAACTGTGTTCTGTATCTTAGTCTGTTTAGGCTATTATAATAAAATGCCATTAACTGGGTTTGATATATAAAAAAAAGAAATTTGTGTCTCATAGTTCTGAAGTTGACAAGTCCAAAGTCAAGGTTCTGTCATCTTCAGCATCTGGTAATGGCTCACTTTCCAGTGCATAGATGGTACCTTTGGCTGCTTCTCCAGATGGATGTGCTGGGCAAGCTCCTTTGGGCCTTTTTTTTTTTTTTTCTTCAGGATTTATTTATTTATTTGAAAGAGAGGCAGAGAGATCTTCCATCTACTGGTTCACTTCCCAAATGTCCACAATAGACTGAGCTGGGCCAGGCCAAAACCAGGAACCAGGAACTCCATCTGTGTCTCCTATGTGGATGGCAAGGGGGCTCAAGCACTTGTGACACCTTCCGCTTCCTTTTCAAGTGCATTAGCAGTGAGCTGGATTGGAAGTGGAGCAGCTGACAATCCAACTGGCGCTCATATGGGATGTTGGCTTCACAGGCTGTGGCTTAACCTGCTGCACCACAACGCTGGTCTGTGCTTGTTGTTTAAGACCATTGATCCCATTCATGAGGGCTCTGCCCCCTTAACCAGAATCACCTCAGAAAAAATGACCTCGCCTCTGGAACCTTCACCTCAAAATATAGGAAAACTCCATTTCTGTCCATTGGCCATCCCAGCAGGGTTCAAGAATTAAATTGATATAAGATAGATTAACAGAAAAGCATACAAATTTATTTTCCATGTTTTATGTGCCATTGGGAACCCTCATAAAGAAATGAAAATCCTAAAATGCCGCTGGAATTAATTATTTAACGTAATGGGTATTGAAATTATATGAGAAGGCATAAAAGGTAAGATTTCTAGCAGGTTCTATAGGGCATTCTCTTGGTCTCAACTTCTGCCCTTGAAGATAAGAATATTGCCTTTCCTTCTGGTACAGGGAAAGTGTTATTCTTGTGAGAATTTTATCTTCTGCTTTTAAGAAACAACAGGAAGGTCAAAGTTGTCTTTTTTATCTGCTGTTTCTCAAGTGTCTTTTGTAAGGCCAGTGTGGCAGAGGAGTCTATTTTAACCCCTTCAGGAGTTAGGATTTCCACACAGGAATTTTGAGAGGACACAAACATTTTAGCATTCTGGCAACTTGGAGCTATGGAGGACCATGAACGATGTGCCCATGGGAGGTGGACAGAAGAAAGTGGGATGTTATCCCCAGTGCTTACTTACCCTTAGGCTCTGGAGGGGGAAAACTAGTGTTTGTCTAGCAGATGGGCATGCTGGAGAGGAGGGCAGAGCAAAGGCTTAGGCTCATGACAATTCACTCTGTCTCTAGCGTCACCAATGAAGCTGTTTAAATCGTGGGCATTGGCGCAACATGCTCCACGTTGACCTTGCTTAACTTGGTGGATCTTTTATTCCTCTACCTTGGTAAATGTTTGTTTGTATCCCCTTTTAACATTTGTAAGACAGAATTTTTGTTCAGAAGTCTGGCATTTGGAGAAGGCACGTTTACAAGGTAGAACTCTTGCGGATGCGAAGTTACTGCCTGCCATAGGATAAACTGTCACTGGAGAATGCCTGCCTGAAACCCAGCCTCCGCTATTGTTATTATCTGACTTGAACATTACAATGTTCCAAAGGTTTTCATAAAGCACTAATACATTTCCATCTTTCTTCCTCAAGATGAAGGACAGTTTTGGACTGGATCCCCTACCATCCGTATCCTCAACTGAAGGAAACAGCCAACAAGGTAGATTTGACAACCTGGAGGATCTTAACTCCTTGGCAGAAAGCAGTCTGGATTTAGGTTTGTGGTTTCTGTTTTTTATAAACATGTGTTAGATTATCTGCATTCTTTGTGTTTTGTGTTTGTATACAGAGATTTTTAATGTGACATTTTCATTCATTATGATGTTTTGAATTTAAATCTACTTTATAATTAACCTACTTCAAAGACTCTGGAAGAATTAACCTGGGTCATATTTCAATCTAGAATTTTCAGATTCCCTTTTCTGAGAGGACTACATTTTCTGTGTCTCATTTTCCTTCTCTCAGCATTTTGGATCAAAACTAACACTAGAACTTACACTGAATCTGAAATGTCTCTGTTAATGTATATTAAAATCACTGATACTGTTAAATGATATTGTTAGCTCATTGAACCTTAGTGTTAAATATTAATAGCAGAGGCATATTTTAAAGTTATGAAACACTTTATAGTCATATATTAGTTTTAATACATAATAACTTAGTTTCCATTAAAGAATTCTAAAAATATAGTGCTTCTCCTTAACTCTCCTCAATATTGATTCTTACATACTTTTGAAAACTTGACTTTAAAAACAATTTTCCTTCATCTAGCACTGAAATATCAAAGTCATTATGATATTAACATCCCTAGGTGAGACTGTTAAGTTCTTTCTTAGAACTGGGATTTATAGAGCCATTGTTCAGATTTATGCTGTCATTCACCTGTTATGACTCCACTCAAGAAAAAGTCTCTCTGGGGGCATTTCTCCTGTTGCATGCTAATACCTTGTAAGAGGAGAGAATTATAGAAAGTGGTGGAACACTTTCCTTTAAGATCAGCATCCTACTAAGTAAAATCTCAAGAATGGAGTCCTCAAAGGTAAAAACTGAAGGCATCTACGAGGTGATGCCACTTTAGCTTTAGAATACCTAAGATTAGAAGGAGGAAAATGAAACTTTGCTACTAAAACTCTCCAAGCGCTTTTTAAAATTTACCACGTTTCTATAGGTTTCTGACTACTAAATACTAAGAGATGGCTTATGATATGAATGAGCAGACTGTATCTTTTGATTACTATTGCTACTGTATGGCAGTTGTGGCACTATTTTGCATCAGATCCTTCTTTGTTGGGAAGTGGAGGACAAGGGCTTTCCTGTGTGGTGTAGGATGCTTAGCCAATTCCCTGGCTTCTACCCATGGATGTTGGTGATGCTCCCTCTCCTGGTCTTGACCAGATTGTCTCCAGGAGTTGAGAGCCCCTGCTTTATACCCTCCAGATTGCAGCCTAGAGCCCCTGAGCTCTGCTGTATGTGCTATCTAAGGACCTCAAAGGTACGTCCTCTGCCTTCTGCTGCCTGTATCAGCTTCCTGTGGCTGTTTTAACAAATTCCCACAAACTTGATGACTTAACAGTAGAAATCTGTTTTCACTGTCCTAGAAGCAGGGAGTCTTAAATCAGGTGCTGTCATTCTTCTGAAGGCTCTAGGGGTGAGTCTGTTCTTGCCTCTTTCAGCCACTGCTTGCTTCAGCTCTCTCTGACTTGAGGCGGCTTCACTCCACTCTGCCTCTTTTTTCCCATGACTTCCCCATCTGTGTCTAATCCTCTGTCTCTTATCAGGGCACTTGTCATTAGATTTAGGGCCCATGAGAATGATCCAGAATGTACTCATTTCAAAATCTTTAACTTAACTGCATCTGCATCTGAAATGACCTTTTTCCCATATAAGGTCAGATTCATAGTTCTCAGCCACAGATATATTTTGGGGGAGGTGGGGAGACACCATTCAACACACATTATTTGAATCTATTACTTTGCAAAGCCCTGGGTATTTATTCCTAGATATTTTAACTTTGGGAATGTCTTTTTTTTTTTTTTTTTTTTTTTTTTTAAAGATTGGTATATGTATTTGAAAGGCAGAGTTACAGAAGGGGAGAGAGAGAGAGAGATTTTCCATCCACTGGCTCACTCATCAAATGGCTGCAACTCCTGGAGCTGGGCCAATATGAAGCTAAGAGCTTCTTCTGGATCTTCCATGTGGGTGCAGGGGCCCAAGCACTTGGGCTGTCCTCTGATGCTTTCCTAGGTGCATTAGCAGAGAGCTGGAAAAGAAGGGAGCAGCTGGGACTTGAATCAGCACCCATATGGGTGGGATACTGGCACTGTTGGTGGCGGCTTTACCTACTATGCCACAGTGCTGGCCCCTAACTTTGGGAATGAAGGTGTGCTTTTGTATCTTAGACCTGGCAACATAGAATAGCATACATAACCATGTATGTGCTTTTTGTGAATTTTTTTGAGAACTTCTGAAATGCTATGTGCCAGGCATGAGTATTTAGATTGCTACTAACCTTGAGTGAGCTGAGAAATTATTGATACAAAGTTGATATATATTTTAGTAGTATATATGTTAAATTAATTCTCAGATTTTTATTTTCCTCCTGAGATCCTTGTCCAAAAAATGCAGACTTTCTTTCAATCCTAGGTCCTCTGTACTAAGCAGTTAACCTGCTGTGTCACCAGGAAAGCCCCTGGCCTTCTCATCAACCTTCTCTATTTCCTCAGCTATGAAATGATGGATTTGGTCTAAGTGTTCTCTAAGGCCCTATTCAGATCTGTAGCTCATTGTCTGCTATTTATAACAATCTCAGATTTACATATAGGAAAGCTGATTCAGAAATCACTTTTGATTGTTACTTATGTGTAAAGGACCATTCTTGACTCTGGTTAATCGAAGACCATATATATATATATATATATATATATATTTGAAAGGGAGAGTTACAGAGACAGGGTGGGAAAAGAGAGAGAGAAGATTTCCATCTGCTGGTTAACTCATCAAATTGGCCCCAAAGGCCAGGCCAGGCCAAAGCTAGGAGCCAGGATCTTTATCCAGGTCTCCCATGTGGGTGCAAGGCCTAAGTACTTGAGCCATCTTTTACTACTTTCCCAGGTGCATTAGCAGGGAGCTGGTTTGGAAGTGGAGCAGGCAGGAGCACCCATATGAGGTGCCAGTGCTGCAGTCTGTGGCTTAACCCGCCGACACTACAGCAATAGCCTTCAAGATTATATAATGGTTTTTTTTTTTTTTGACAGGCAGAGTGGATAGTGAGAGAGAGACAGAGAGAAAGGTCTTCCTTTTGCCGTTGGTTCACCCTCCAATGACCGCCACGGCTGACGCACTGCAGCCGGCGCACCGCGCTGATCCGAAGCCAGGAGCCAGGTGCTTCTCCTGGTCTCCCATGGGGTGCAGGGCCCAAGCACTTGGGCCATCCTCCACTGCACTCCTGGGCCACAGCAGAGAGCTGGCCTGGAAGAGGGGCAACTGAGAAAGAATCCGGCGCCCCGACCGGGACTAGAACCCGGTGTGCCAGCGCCGCTAGGTGGAGGATTAGCCTAGTGAGCCGCGGCGCCGGCCAAGATTATATAGTTTTAAGGAGCTGATTCTTCTCCTGGACTGTGAAGCTGTACCTGTAAATTAGCATAATCAATAATATAAGGCACACAAGATAAACTCCAGTGGATGTTGTATTTTGTGTTAAAAGATTTCAGAAGGGGCCGCAATTGTGGTACAATTGGTTAAGACAATGCTAGAACTCTGGCATCCCATTTTGGAGAATCTTATTCCTATCCCGCTTCCTATTACTGTGCCTGGAAAAACAGCAGAAGATGGCCCAAGTGCTTGGATCTCTGCCACTAATGTGCGGGACCCTGACGGAGTTCTGGGTTTGGCTTTGACCTGGACCAGCTCTGGCTATTGTAGCCATATGGGTAGTGAACCAGTAGGTGGAAGATCTCTCCCTGTTTCTCTATTTATCCCTCTGTTACTCTGAAATCTTTAAAAAAAATATTATTTTGAACATTGTAGATAAAGGTTCTGTTTCCCAGTCTCTGACTACTCTTCCCTGAATTGCACCTCCAGTGACCTTGCAGGAATTTCTGTTAATGACCCCAGAGGTCACTGCACAGGCTCATTTTCAGGCCTGTCTCACACTGTAAGTTTCTGAAGGGCAAGATTTGCCTCTGGCCAGGGCGACATACCATGTGCTCAAGAAAGATTACGTGAACAAAACAGGGATAAGCTGCTTATATGTGATTATTCAACAGGCTATCAGTTGACTTTCCCCCTCATTTTTTTTAGCTGCTAAATTATGCAAGAACCCAATCTCCTCTCTTTTTGCCTTTATTCTGTTTGTTATTCAGTTCTTCCACTTCACCAAGTATAATCCATTTGAAAATTTCTCCCATTCTACTCTGTAAGCATTAACTTCCATTTATCCAAAGCATTTGTTTACCTTCCCTGTTTGTCTAACCTCTGAGCCCTGTTATGGCCATTACCCAACAACCGCAGAAGCCCAGGAGGACTGGACTTGTGTGGGCTCCTGGGTGCTGTGGTGCACGTGGAGAGCTGCTCTGTAAAGTGTGAGTGTGTCAGATGCTGGAAGAGGTGAGAAATGTGTGACAGAGCAGCAAGGGTCTAGGGAGGAGGCAGTAGGGTAAAGGGCACGGGCAGCCTTTGTGTGAAACAGGGAATGGAAGTTTTAAACAAACTGCAGCAACTTACACAGCCTGCTGGTGTCGTTTAACAGACCACGTTTACTAGCATGGCTGGATGGAAAATCCCTTTGCAAATAGAGCCAGTTTCCTGTCCTGGAAGCCCTGGTTTTAGGCCATTACTACTTGAATCCTCGTTCCTCTTCTGGTCCTTGTTATTTTATGTGGTGTGTGTGGTTTTTTTGTTTTGTTTTGTTTTGTTTTGAAGATTTCTTTCTTTCTCTTTCTTTGAAAGTGAGAGAGAAAGATATACACGCACACACACAGAGATTCCCCATCCACTGGTTCACTCTCCAAATGGTGCAACTAAGACTGGGCTAGGCCGCAGCCAGGAACTTGGCACTCCATCTGGCCTCCTAAAAGGGTGGCAGGGGCTCAAACACCTGGGCTGTCCTCTGCTTTCCCAGGCACATCAGCAGGCAAGTGGATCAGAAGCATGGTGGTGAAAATTCAAACCGTCACTCTGATGTAGGATGCAGGCATTGCAGGAGGTGGCTTAACCCAG